GATGACCTCTGAGGTCCCTTCCAACCTTAAGCATTCTATGATTCTATGCTACACTGCTTGACAAGCTTTGCAAAAGCAAGCATTGGGCTATTGAAGAGGAACGTTGAGAGTCAGGATGGTTAAGATGGAGCACAGAAAAAAAGGGCTGCAAAATTTCCCAGCAAAAAGYATAGTACCCCTTGCTTCCATTACGTCTGGGAATTCAAGAAAGGTGAATKTGGGCACCATTCTGCAATGTGTTATGTACCTTGTCTTCCAAGAAAGAGACAGCATCAAGTCTCTCCCACTCTTTGGCTTTAAAGAAGGGCAAGTCACCTCAGGGGCTGCCAAACACTCGTTTAGGTACAAGCCAGTGTGATTTTMAAGCAAGAAGAATGCACCTAGCCCTATGGTATTACTGTGGAGTCCTAATTTCACTGAGCTTTCTGCTATCAAAGTCTGTAAAAAAAATAAATGGCCTCCTATCCAACATTTGTTTTTCCTTCTATTTCCTATTCCCTTCCACTACCCTTTCTACACAGACTGTTAGCCACAAACAATTATTACTGTTTATTTTTTCTTCTTTCTCCTTTTAAGTGCTAGCTGCTAGCTTCTAGCATTAGCCTTCATAAACTTAAGACAAAAGTTGCCCTTGCTTTCAATCTTAAAACAGCAAAATCCAAGCCTCCTACACAACCACACTCCRGTCAGATGGGAACCTCTTGCTGCAAGGTGCAAATCCTGCTGCTGCTGAGCATTTTCCCTGTGGAGGGAAACGTTCCTATTATTTGACCGAGATAACAGAAGGTGACTCTTTCAAATGGTGGGTGCCGCGTGCGAGGCAAGAGGAAGGAGGAGTTTGACATCCCAGCTTTTGGTGGGAAACCTAAGTGCTCAGTACGGGAAACATGCTAGATGCGCCACGAAACAAAAGCATGTCTGTTGTGCAATACAAACRGGAATGAAGTCCTTAGGAATAAAATGGCAATCTAAAAAAATGTCACTGTGTTATAAAGACAGTCTTTGTTTCACTTGTAAATTAAAAGAGAGTAAGATGCGCTGTAATTCCATGACAAAAAACGATACCAAAGCACTGCTTTTGYAGGGGGCAGAGAGGAATCGAGAAAAAAGGTGAGCATCAGAGCAGCTGCTGCTTCCTGTGCAGAAGGCTGTGATCCACCTCGGACATGAAGGAAAAGTCTTTCTTACGGAGATAAACTTCCCTACTCTAAGAAAAAAGCAATTAAGGAAATTAAGAAAAGTGGTCAGTTSACCGTTTTCAAGGATCTCACAATCACCTTGCTCTGGTGCAGGGGAAGCTGCAGAATGTGACTGAGCCATCTCTTGGTTGTGAAGATCCACCTCAAGGTGAGGTTTCTGAATGATTAAATATGTAAGTGATCTTCATCTGATCAATATTCTTTTTATTTAGAGCAATCCTTGCTGCAAGACCATGTATATTCAAGGCAAGTTCAGCAGGCATGTCAAAGCATACTTATGCAATGAAAAAAACACCAGGATAAATTTCTAGCTGTGACAGAGGCCAATTTTACCTCCTGATATTGAACATGTTCAAGCACTTTGCCAGAAGGACTTTGCCAGCAAGATGCCCCTACCCATAGCTAACTGAATGGATGTAAACAAAACACAAAATTCTCCTCAGGACGGATAGATCTGGATAACAGAAGGCCAATTGCTCCAAAACCCAGAACACTGCATGCACATGAATTTTACCACTGGTCCTACTCCTACTGTGCAGGCACTCAGCTCCACTAGAGTGGAGACGGCAATTCCAAGCAGAGCAGCTGGAAACAAAACCAGGAGTCTGACRCCGGGGAAGCCAGCCGGCTCCTCCGCGCCGCAGGGGCAGCGAGACGCGGGTGGGACATGGAGCAGCTTCCACAGCTGCAGGGCTCTTCCCACAGAACGGGAACAGGCGGGAAGGCGGGGGCTGTGAGG